ATGGTTGTATTTTTCGTGAAAAGATTCTAGTGTGTTAACTAAGATATAACTTTAGACGGTTGTATAAGAATGCATCTTATTTTAATTAAATTCTGTCACGAACAATTTGAATTCCTGTTAATCAAAATTGGAAACCAAATAAAAAATAATCGTACATGCACCACTTAATAAACCGCAAATTACATTCCTTCCAATTAGGAAAAGATCTTCTCTTTTTTTGTGTAATTCTAACGCCTCTCTTAGGGAAAATTCGAGAAAGTATTCACTTCCAGTTAAAATTCATTGAGCGTTATTGTGGGGCACTTAGAACAGCGCAATTGTTAGCAACCTTGCTTCGTTAGATCAATTTCCATCGGTCGTTACTAAGTGCTTATGCTTTAGGTCTTGTGGCACATCCAAGTTACACTTAATAAAACATGTTTACCTCAACTCGGTTAACATGTTTGTCTCATTAGAGCAATTATGAGTGAGTATTGAGTTCGATCCTTACTAGTTGATCCATGATTTCTGTAATCTGCCCTTAAAAACCACTACCAATATACGTTTTTTTTGTGTGCTCACTGACATATTTGCTGATTTCATCACTAAGACATATTTTTAGTCTAACTGGTGTTTCTCATAAAAGTATTATGCTTGTGCCATCTTTTGAAGCCATATTTCTTCAGTAATTCGACAATCACTTACCATCATTTTCTTTTAATATAAGCGCAATTCTATGATTTTTAACTAAGATATTGAAATGCTTCTCCGTAGGCCCCTCCACAGTGTGAGATTCAGATTTTAGCTCATCTTAGATTGGCTAGCGCATAAAACACAGTTTATATTATTCTTCATATTCAAGTAAACTGATAATCATATTAGTGTGCCTGTAATACGGTTATGTTTCCTTTCAGGCTTCAATTTTAAGCAACAAACCTGCTCGGTATTTATGTTGGTATTCTATGCTTTCAAATATTTGCTAAATGCCTGTTCGAAATGGGCTTAAAATTCTGCTGTGTAAACGTGTTATTATCCAAAAAGTGTCCCTGGTCAGATCATATTTATTTCATCGATGATCTTCTGCAAAACTTTTTCCTCTCTCAACTAATTACTTTTCAGATTGCAGGTACATGGCTATTACGTAGATTATACATCTTTTGTATTGTAAAATTTTCAGGATTGACTCAAGGTAACATGTAGCAAGTATAAATAACTGAAAACTGGCATTTGTCTTGTTTACCAGTACACGCGCTATCATAGATACGCTTATATCTTAGAATATATCTCGTTTCACTTTTAATAAGAAATCAGATTTGTTGACAATTGGGAGTTTTTTTTTTTTTCATTTCAAACAAATTAAAATCAATGAAACCATAATTAGCGAAATATGTGTGCATTCGGGATAAGGGCTAAATAAGTCATAAAACATAATAAATTTCTATATATTAATTCATACTTACGCATCGGAGAGCTGGATATTTCTGGTATATGCTAATCATTTCAGTGCCAGCAAGGTGAAAAGGTCATTAAAACGTAAAGGATTGCTGGAAGTGAAAAATAGTAAGATATTAGAAGGAACCGGAAACAAAATCCTAAATAGTAAACAAGTGATACACTTCTACTATAGTTCAATAGACAGGAAAAGAATGTGGACCACGTGTTAGGGAAACGTGTCTTGTACTAAGTAGGTGTTTAAGAAAAAATAGGAAAAAATAAACAAATAGAAAAAATGCAAAGCAGAGAAAATTATTAAATTTTTAATTATTATTATTATTATTAAATACCGATAATATGAAAACTGCTTCTAAGAAATAATTTAAGTTATGCATATAATATTAATGATGTGCACGTGGCCGTGTGGTTAGACCCGGTTTCGAATCTCAGTATTGTCGATTTGTTAGGATTCCTGATGTTGGGGTCGATCCAAACGTGTGCCACATTTGGAAAGTGCCTGAAGACCAGACCGTGAACCAAGACTTGTGGGTGAAATTGCCTAGACGGAACCTTGTATAGCGTCGTGCTAGCACGAAGTCACCAGCCACAGTGGCCGAGTGATTGAGCGTGCTGGCCTTGTCCAAATTGTTGATCACGCTAGTGACCCGAGCTTTATAAACCAGAGGTTGATTCTGTTGGTGATGAACAAACGCAAAGACAATCGGCGGATTGGCGAGTCGCCCTATTAGTATACGTGTAGCCGGGTACTGTCTGAATAAAAAAAGGGAAATTACGAAAAGTTTATATAGAATTGTTCATAGGAATTTAGTTTAACCTAATTGGATATATGCGTTTTCAATAACGTTTTCATGAAAAACATATGAGCAATATATATATATATATATATATATATATATATATATATATATATATATATATATACATGTAAAAACATATATATATATATATATATATATACATATATTTATATATATATATATATATATATATATATATATATATATATATATATATATATATAAGTGAACATAGAAGTCAACACTTAGAGGCGACAGTCTGCCTCATGATAGATGCAATCGTCAGATCATATATATATATATATGTTCACTCTTATATTTACACATGCTCTACCTCTTATATTGAGCACTTTATCCCATAAATATAGCACATCTTAAGACTATATTTCTTTACATATATATATATATATATATATATATATATATATATATGAAAGTTTCATGAAAACATATGAGCAAAATAGTAGTAAATATAATATTATTTTCTACTTAATAGCTTTACGATGTTTAAATAACTATTTTGTAATAATACATGTTGATGTATGCGGCATTGTGTGTGTGTACATGGCTACAATTAACTGGATCTTTTGCTATATCTGCAACCCACCGTCTAGAAATGTCTGTCTTCGCCCCCGCTTGCACGGATCATCCGCTGGTACACTATGCTACCCTACACTCATCTTTTTTACGTGCTTCGCAATTTTTTAATTGTTCTTAATAAAGGGATCCAATCAATAAAAACGTCTTGTATAGTCTTTCATCTTGGTTAAATTGTTTCAGTGTTTTAGATATTCTGTAACTTTTCTATGGCTTAATAACTTTCAAACAGCATGTCATCTTTCACAAATCTAATAATCAAAATTAAAAAGTGATTTAGGTATACATATTATTGCCTGCAGTTATTTTTTCGTGTATGTAGATATTGTCCATTATTGATTATTCTATAGGAAGAGTTATATTAACTACCGTAGGACAACTTATGTTGGTAATGTCGAAAAGGAAGAACCGGACTGATGAAAAAAAATAATCTACTGAAGATCCCAATGGTGGAATAGGTAAATATCTACACAATCTCAACGGGAAAATCTGTGGAAGAAGGCCGCACCAGAAGGACTGGTGTAACCGAGGCGGAGCTTAACAGCCGATGCATCCGAAAGCCCGATGCAACTAGATTTCCCAGATCTCGCCTCTCTCAATCCCATTTGAGCCGAGAAAGTGGCGCTTCTGGCCAAGTCTATGGGCTTCTCCCTCCCACAGAGTTTTCCACCAAAATCAAATTCAAGCGAGTGTCCTTGTCAAAATCTCTGCAATTTCCGTCACTAGAGAAGAGGAAGTGAATAAGGAGAGAGGGCGACGATCCTGACGCTCGGATGAGAGCGGGTGCCGATAATCCTATTTACCTTTGTCACAAAGGAAATTTTACTACTTTATAAAGAGAAGCTGTAGCGAACAGAAAGCAATGGTAACGTATATATTGATCAAAATAAAATATTAAAGTAATGTTTTTAATAGGAATAGAAATGCTCGCCTATCGTCTAATATTCGAGTCACACACCACCCTGGTATTTGGAACGGAAGTATGTTGTTTCCTGTTTAAGATTGGTTTTCCGGTTCCTTCTGCACTGTACTTGTAAAGTCTCGAACTGAACACTGAAAGTTTTTTTCAGAAATTAAATCTTGACCTCTGTAAGTCTAGTGTTAGCCGTTATATTTCTTATCTTTCGTATCTCCAAGAACTTCATTTCTTGCCCTTCCTTGTGCTCATACAGCACTAAACAATAGCAATCTACCGTGAATTACCTTGAACTTGGTGAATATTAAGTGAATGCGCGCTAGCATCTTCCAATTTGCGTGAACTCATTCATTGGTCTAAATCATGGCCATTGTCCAGGCTACATCAATCGATGACAGGTCATGCTTCCTATAAATACCTTCAGCGCGGCTGCATCTGCATACACGTCTTGATTTGATCGCCATTAACGCATCTGTCCTTGGATTAATTGACAGCTTCCTGCTACCGCAAGTTACCTATTTGCTTAAACGTTTGCATTACCCATTTTATCTCCGTGTGCTGCCTCTACTGCGCATCCCAGTCCATCTTAGCGTTCCATACCTATTTCTACCCTTTCGTAGTTCAGTTTCGCTATTAGACAGTTAAATGCTGTCGCAAGTTATTTATTGTTATAGTGGAACACACCTACTCTATAGTTAATGGACTCTCCCACCTATAATAAGTAGGAGTAGTAAGAGTAAAGAGGCAGTCGGTCGGTCAGTCAGTCGATGCTGGACGACAGTCGAATACTAAAGTATCAGCGACCACAACTAGATTACTCTGCGTTATACCTATTATATATCAAGTTCCTAACGTTTTGTACGTCGAACCTATTTTAGGACCGACTTAATGCAAATACAAGCCTCCACTGTGAAATCACTCCACAACACTTATTTACTCAATCGTTTGTCCAACCTATTTTACCTGCACATTACAGTTTTCACTGTAAGTTGAAATGAACTGTCTTTACTACGCGACCCAGTACACCTCAGTGTTTCACTACTTTTTGACCTTCAATGCTTCAACGTTTTGGTTGCGTAACCTCTTCCTACAGCGACGTTTTCGTGCTGCCAGAAAGCACGGTCCATAGCTAGGAGAAGATTTTTCCATACCACTCCATTGCATTTTTAGTTTTCGTATACAACGAGGTTGCACCGCTTCAGCTTCGGCATCAACTTCTATTCGCTTTCTTACTCAGCATTTCTACAACCATTCAAATGGCTCCTACACGACGAACATCCGCACGTCAGCAACTGAAGACCCCTAATTCCGTTAACGTTACACATGCAGAACAGGCGACTGCGGATGAGCACATAATAACTCCGGTTACAGATGATCATATAGCGTCTACTTCAAATTCAGCTTTGCACTCTTCTGCGTTCCGTGGCGATGACCAATCCGGCAGCCCTGCAAAGGTTGCAAAAACACCCAGGTGAGGCAACCTTAGCAGGTGTTCTAAAAAAGCCTCACCTGCTAAGGGGAAACGGGAGCAGGATTCCATTGAGTGCGCCTCCTTGGGGGAGAAGCGGCTGGAGTCTACTTCAACCTCTGCTTTGCACTCTTCTGAGTGCCGTGGCGATGACCGACCCGGCAGCTTTGTTAAGCGTGCCAAAATACCATGGCGAGGCAACCTTAGCAGGCGTTCTAAAAGAGCCTCTGCGGCAAAGAGAAAGCGGGAGGAGGAAACCGAGTTAGAGGCCTCTTTGAGACTTTCCAGACAATCTCAACGGAGGCAGTATGTTTTGTCACATGAAACGCTTGGTTGGCGTAACTACCATTTGTACTGCAAATCAGTTTACACATATTCGTTGAAAAGTAAGAGGAAACTACCTAAACGCTTGCAAGACAACAAAAAAGCGGCTTCATCACAAGCGCTTTTGCGGTCTCCACAGAGCCCGCATCGAAAAGCTACTAGCAATGCAGCCGATGCCGCTGCAACTTCCATTCGACGGTCCCAGGAGACCACGGCTGAGAAAACCGCACGCCATGCAGCCGACGCCGCTGCAGCTTCTGTTGCAAGGGCGTCGGAAAGTTCCGCGTACAAGGCGGCAACGCGATGCAATTTCAACTTCCGCTGCTACAGCTGTAGAAGGACCTACTGAAAGGTTTGAAAGGTTGCAGACTGTTAACCAGCGCCGCCATGAACAGCGAGGGCTCTGTAGCCCACCAAAGCAGTTTTGGTTTAAGCTGGTGTTCAACTATGAGACAGTTTTGAGGCTTTCCGGTCGCAAAGACCTCCAAATAGGATCCATGTCAGTTGTTTGCGGGCATTGCAATTCCAAAAAATGACCTGGAGAATCTGCAGGTTTGTGTCGTTCATACGTTAAGGTACAGTTGCCACCTTTTGAAGAGCTACCTGCTCCGTTGAAAGCTCTGTTGGAGGGTTCCAGTCCAGACTCCAAACATTTCCTCGCAAAAATCAGACAGTACAATTTTGCCTTCCAGATGACCTCTTTTGTTGGTAATGCCTTCCGCGAAGTCGGTTGGAATCCCACCTTCAAGGTTCAAGGTCAGGTTTACCACCGGATTGGGTCTCTTTTGCCGGAAACTGCCACTGATTCGGCCTTTCTACAAATATACTTCCTGGCTGACTACAATCAACAGGGAGATGCCCGCATAGGCATTATTCCCGAAAACGATGCAGGCCAGCACAATCATTCTCACAGGGATATCATAATGTGTCTCCAACAAATGCTCCACGAGATAAACAGCTATGTCCGCAGTTTTAAGTATGCTCTCGAAAATAACACCTTCTGATTTCATTATTGCAATTGATGCTGACAAACGGCCTCATTGAGAGCACGAACGTCGTTACAATGCTCCCACAATTAACAAAGTTTTCAGCACAACAGACGTGGCATTGTTATCGAATCGCGCGGCAGTGCGCTCCGAAGAATCAGTGAAACGCACCGGTCCTACGATGCACTGCAATTCCCACTTCTCTTCCCTTACGGAGAAGATGGTTACCACTTTGACATTCTGCAAAATGGGTTCACCTAAAAACAGTGTCTTGCAGGGCTTTCTACGCCTACCTATTGATGGTACATGAGGGTTCATTCAATCAACTTCACCGAAGCCGGCAACTTTTCCATCAATTCATCGTAGACATGGCTGCTAAGATGGAAACCGAAAGACTGTTACATCAGATTGAATCAGACCAAGTTGCGCTGCGACTCTTACATTCACTTCCGTGATGCTTTACGAAATGACGCTGATCCACGCAATATAGGCAAGATGTGCATACTACCTGCAACGTTCCCAGGCAGTCCACGATACATGCACGCGAGGACGCAAGACGCGATGACATACGTTCGTAAGTACGGCCGACCAGACCTATTCATAAATTTCACGTGTAACCCAAAATGGTACGCAATTGCTAAAGAACTTATGCCAGGGCAATCGGCCTACGACCGTCCAGACCTCATTGCGCGTGTTTACCATCTGAAGTTGGGAAAGGTAAGGGATGTGATGACAAAGGAACCGATTTTTGGGGCCGTTTGCTGTCGCATGCACACTATTGAGTGGCAGAAACGCGGTCTGCCTCACGCAAACTTACTAATTTCGCTGTGCGACAAGATTGATGCCACAGAAATCGATCATCTTATTTCTGCTGAAATTCCTGGATCCGTCGGCTGACCCTGAATTGTACGAAATAGTGATAATCAACATGATTCATGGTCCCTGCAGGTCGCATTACAATTACACCAGCTGTCACAACAGCGACGGCAAATGCACCCGGCAGTACCCAGGAGATTTCGTGAGCGAAACCATTACAGGGAGCGATGGTTATCCACTGTACCGTCGAAGGAGTCCCGCTGATGGAGGATTTACAGCCGTGGTAAAGGGCCACCAAGTGAATAACAAATGGGTAGTGCCATACTGTCCCCTGCTAACAAAAGCGTCCAATGCGCACATCAATGTCGAATATCGCCATTCAGTTCGCTCCATCAAGTATGTATGCAAGTACATCAACAAAGGGACTGATGCTTCAATGTTTGGTATTAGGCAGGAAGGTTCCGTAGACGAAATCCAGGTCTTCCTTGCAGGGCGCGTCATTAGCAGCACAGAGGGCCCTTGGAACATATTCAGCTTCCCCATCCACGAACGCTTCCCAGCAATCGTCCAGCTTGCTGTGCACCTAGAAAACGACGAACGTCGTTATTTTTCTGCGAATGCAGCAATGGATGTAGCTGCGCGTTCCTAAGACACAAAGCTTCCAGCGTTCTTCCAACTTTGTCGACAGGACGAGTTTGCTAGGACTCTACTGTACCCAGATGTGCCTTCATACTACGTGGGGACAAAAAAGAACACCTGGGCTCAGCGGAAGCGCGGGGCCAACGTCGAGGGCTATCCAGGCGTCAAAAAGACACCACACTCGGAAGGGTATTCACTGTTCCCCCATCGCGACAGGAATGTTTTTACTTGCGACTCCTTTTGCACGAAGTTAGTGGTTCAACGAGCTACAATAACTTACGGACGGTTAATGGAGTTTTATGTGACACTTTTCTCAGCCTTTTGGAAGACGACAGCCAGTGGGATGCCACAATGGCTGAGGGAGCTCTTTTAAAAATGCCCTCTGCTTTGCGCCACCTCTTCACCACAATCTTACAAATGTGCGAACCCAGTGATTCCAAATCACTTTTGAACAAATACAAAGACTTTTTGTCCAAAGACATACTCAGGGAAGCGCAACTTCTGTGTCCAACAATGACTCTTGCATTCAACGATGGAATTTACAACAGGGCGCTTATAATCATTGAGAACCTGTTCGTTGAAATGGGGGGAAATCTCTTGCCGCTACTGGGCTTCCAACGCCAGATCGTGTGACTTCCTCCAGTCTCTCATCTGAGATTGTGCGGGAGACATCCTACTCTGTTGAGGAGCTCAACGCCTATGCCACAACAAATGAGCCAAAACTTCTCATAGACCAAAGGGCCGCTTACGATGCGGTTCTTGCATCCATCATGCAGGATACAAGATCAATTTTCTTCCTGGACGAGCCTGGGGGAACGGGAAAAACGTTCGTATCAAAACTGCTTCTTGCAGAAATACGGCGCCAGGTAGCAGTTGCATCTTCAGGCATTGCTGCCACATTACAACTGGGTGGCCGAACAGTGCACTCAAAGTTTAAACTTCCGTTTGACTTGATTAAGGCAGAAACAGCTGTAAGCAGTATAGCCAAGCAATCACGTCTAGCGGAGGTACTCAGGCAATGTAAGCTTATCGTCTGGGATGAGAAACAGTGTCAGTCCAAAAACTGCACCCGAGGCTGTAAACCGCTCTCTGAAGGATATTCGAAACTCCAATGAATTTATGGGAGGTATAACTGTCCATCTATCCAGCGACTTTCGCCAGACCCTCACCGTTGTACCTAAGGGGACAAGGGCCGACGCTATTCGAGCGTGTTTGAAATCGTCACAACTTTGGCCCACTGTTAGAGCATTGCACCTTACCACCAACATGCGTGCACACCTAACTTGCGATGTTGGGTCCGCCGAATTTTCGAATACATTATTAGCCCTTGGCGAAGGTATTATTCCAGCGGACACTAATGGATTTGTAAACGTCCAAGGGTTGTCTACAGTGGTCACAACGCCAGCAACACTCATGGAATTAGTTTTTCCTGATCTTCAAAACAAACTACAACAATATTGAGTGGCTTGCTGGGCGGGCCATTCTTGCCCCAAAAAACACCACCGTGACAACCCTTAATAGACAGCTTCTGGAAACTGTGCCAGAAGTGTTGCACGTTTACAAATCCATTGACAGAACTCCCGACCTCGCTGAAATGGCTAACTTTCCATTGGAGTTCTTAAACAGCCTCCACCCCACTGGTCACCCTCCTCACATTCTGGAACTTATGTTGCTTAGAAACCTGCGTCCACCGAAACTCTGTAATGGGACCCGGATGGTTATTCAGGCCCTACACCCAAACATTATTGAGGCCAAAATTATAACTGGTTGCGGTAAAGGGCAGCAAGTGCTGTTATGACAATTAATAAGGCCCAAGGACAAACGCTGTCTGTCAATGGTGTACACTTAGAGGAGCAGTGCTTCTCAGACGGCAAACTTTACGTAGCCTGCTCTCGAGTCGGCAAACGCCAAGATGTGTTCCTTTATTCATCATCGTTACAAGCTATAAATGTGGTCTAAACTGAAGTCCTCAGCCAGTGATACGCAAAATCCATTCCATTTTTCCTTTCCATGCAAGAAAATTGAGGTCCCTGCCAAATCAAACATATTGAATGCTGGATTTGTGGTTTTGAATAGAGACATAGTAGTATGACTAGTCTCAATATTTCAGGAAACTGGGTTGGGTGTGAAAAATATTTGTTGTTTCTTTTTTCATTCGGTTTTTCCAGTTACGAGTCCTTTTTTAAAGCTGATCGTTTTATGTTCATTTTGTTTACTTCTTTTTTCGTAACAGATTTAATGTTTAGTATAGAGGTTAGAAAAAATTCACAGTGTGAGATAGGCAAGAAGTAAGGCATGTAGCAACACCAGCATGGAAAAGGGCACTCCTTTAAAGTCAAGAAAGGGCAAAAATATAAGTCAAGTGATAGCGATTGCTGTATGAGTCGTACGATTTTTGAATCAAGCACGGGCAACTCCGGGCCATGCTTCTAGTATATATATATATATATATATATATATATATATATATATATATATAATAAATAAAAAATATATATGTGTGTGTGTGTGTGTGTTTGTATGTATATATATATATATATATATATATATATATATATATATATATATATATATATATATATATCCGTTCAATAGTACTACATAATGACAGAGAAAATTAAAATTAATCGAGTACATTTATTACCTGTTATATAATGTTAAGCTTATATACTTTGCATTTAAAATTAGATTTCATGAGACAACAACTGAAATTGCAAAATGGGAGAGATGGTTAGTATCTCTCCTCAGATATGCACGCGCACACGCTGGAACGCACACACAAGCGGACCCGTTCACAAACGCTCGCACAGACACACGCACTCACACAGTCATTAATGTTAATAAACGAAGTCCCTACGTAAACCAACATATCCTCTTTCAATTTGCACCATTTGTGAACTCAGACACGTATCCAACGTCTCATTTCAAACCGCCTTCAAGTCCTATTTCCTGGGTAGGCCTCCATACATGAATACAATGCAGATCGCCTGATGCTGTCAAATCTTGCTGATGCAATGACATAATTAAAAATCTCTGCAGGCAATCTGAAGAAACGGCAGTCACTCCCGTAAAATCGCTTGATATTTCCGTCTTTTGAATTCCCAAACCTTATCATCCTTGCACTGACATTTGCCTAGTTTCGTTAACGTCTGCCCAGAGCCCTTCAGCTATATTTGGAGCTTTAACTTTTGACAGACATTTCAGAACGTTCATTGCTTTCAACGGACTCCTGACCATGATTGCATCGTTAATATTGAAATTTTATCCGGGCTTTCAATACTGAATAATCACCGAAAGCTTTCGTATATATTTGAATAATTTTTCGGACGAATGCCCAAGTTTCAGGCAAAACTTGATGAATATTTGCTGATTAATAATACAGCATCTCTGTCAGCGGCGTCTCAATTCTGACTGAGTAAACACATGCGGAATATTTACTCTATAGTAGATCAGCAAGGCCATTTCCGATTGGTTGTCAATGAGTGAAACCGATTCTCGTAATATTTGAATACGTGGATAAATTGTGAGCGATTTTTATTTATTAGAGTAGGTAAAATCTTGGACGTTATTACGTTTTTGAACATTTGAAAAAGCATTTTTTCAAATGTTATATGTATCTGTAGGTATTTGAACAAGCAATAAATGTAACATCCAAAAATATGTATTTTCCTGTGATAAAAAAATTGTCCTTAGCCATGTCTATTTTATAACATTTTAAAAATTATAACAAATGCAAAACATGGTCACCAATTGATTCTCTGGTTACTGTAATTTTAGCGTCAAAACTAAAAGTAGAATGGCTTTCATAGGACCAAATTGTCGAATAATGTCCCCTTCATATCAAAAGTCGACATCTATTGTCCTTTACACTATGTCAATTATAGAACTTCTTTTATGTGCCGTATCCTTTCAGAACGTAGTTGATAAAAGCCCTCCACATCATCCTATTTCTTGCAGCTCTTAATAAATCTTGTCTTTCTGTTATTTCTTTCAAATCCTTCTTGGCGATCGATTCTCACAAGCTCATCAAGTAAGCTACGTAATGGTTTTCTCTGTCCGTCTATCCATAAATCTGTCCTGTGAGTATTCAAGCGCTCATTCAACCTTAACTTTCAGAGAAATCTCACCTGCTTCTTTCTGATCATATGTATAAGTTTTCTTTTTCTATCTATTTTCTCCAAAACCTCGATGGTGCACAAATATTCGGTCCATGTAATCCTAAACATATTCAGTTGAACCACATTTCTGTTACTTCAACTGTCTTCTTTATCATAGTGGAATTAAGGATACCACATAACTCTGTCCGGCAGTAAATAATTCTAAACTGTGTTTAGGATAAATGCGTCATTTGTAAATGGTTCAGTACATGTTACCATGTTAGCTTTTATTGCGACATTAATCGAACGGTTTTTTTCTGATTAATTCATAGATAAATAATAATCGGCACACTTTGAATAAAATTATTTCAGTACGTTCCGAGGCAATAGAGAAATTATAAGCATTGTTCCCATGAGATAAAAAAAAAGGTTTGCACACATATATGCATACATATATCGCTGATACTCTTGAGGAGTTCACGAAATTAGTGATATATATATATATATATATATATATATATATATATATATATATATATATATATATATATATATATATATGCATTCTTTATTGATAGAGCAACTGATGTCAGTTAGGGATGTTTTTCTACTGTTTAATTAGATCTTTGACAGAGAGCGGAAGTTAGTAAAGGAATATGGCGAATGATCGTGTAATTTTCCGGATAATTTCGATGATCATTTAAGGCAAATGGAACAAGTAGAGAGATACCGAATACAGCATTTATGTAGTTAACGGTTAAGACCGTAATGTGAAAGTCTATTTTTGCATTATTTTTGTGGGAGATATTCAGCTACACATTCCCTAAAATAACCTCACCTTCCATAAACTTTTTGACACATCCTCACCAATATTGAAATAGACTTTGCTGATGCCGCCTGTTTATGTAACAAGTTCTAATAGTTTGAAGAATATTTTCATGAATACAAACTGACGAAGATTTGAAGGGTTCACAGAGATTCATATTGAACCTTTATATACAGGAGGGGTTCTGATGGGACAGATTGCACTCAAATAAGTGGTAGGACACTCACACACACACACACACACACACACACACACACACACACACACACACACATATATATATATATATATATATATATATATATATATAAAATAAAGAGGAAAAATTGTCAGATTAAAAGTTACCATCGTGGCCATCGTGAGAAGAGGTATATAACAGCTGCTTATAATATATCGTTGAGAGCCTTGTTATATATACCAGGCACTGATATAATCGTGATCACGTGTATGTGTTTGTAGCAACTCATCCACAGGTGTCTGGGAAATTATTGAATTATTGAATTTAATAGTTTTTTGCATTTTTGTTTCACAGTAATATATATTGTCTACAAGAGCAAAGTGTCACACGAGGTAGAGCAAAGAGTAACGGATAAAAGCCTCAATTTCTTTGTATTTGTTAGCGAAATAGCTTAGATGTGCCGGTTAAGTTTGAAGGCATCGCTTGATAATGGAACAAATTTCATCTTCCGAAACAGAAATTTCTGTGTCGCAATGTAAAATATTTTCAATAAAAATATTGTTAATATATATATATATATATATATATATATATATATATATATATATATATATAGGTAACCTGATTGTATTGTTATTCCACCTTTATGGTCAGTATTTTCTTAAAATATCCCGTCCACTTTTAATCCTTTGAATAAATCTTAACGCCACCCCGTTGTTGTGTTATTTTTTCTTTTCTTGTCTCTTTTTCTATTCTCTTCTTTTCTTTGGTCGTGGTATAGTTTTGATTGTCCCTTATAAATATGCCGTTTTTCTTTTGCCTCTTTAGCCAGCTTTCCCTGACGATCCACGTAGGTGAAACCTGAGTAGGTTTGTCTGGCTTCCTAGGTTTGACTATATATATATATATATATATATATATATATATATATATATAATCAAAATATAATCAATTTTAATCTTTCAAATGACAAGTGATTTGGATTTAATCTATTGAGAAGTGTTAGTTTTCTTGTCTGTGGAGTATTGTTATACGTAATCAAGACAGGTTATTTAGCAAAATTTTGTATTTGTAATTACTATGTATTTATATAATTGGAGTGAGTCTAGTTAAATGCAAATATTTCAATAACAAAAGTTAATAGTGAATAATTTAATATTACTTCGTCAACGACGATATAACTAGGAAATCCATTATTATTAAGAGTTTATTTAATATTTTTCTAGAGAAATGTATTAATTTGTAATAATTGATAAAGATTTCAATCTTTTATCGCTAACAACTTTCTGTTAAACAGTTATGGCGGTATGAAATAATAATGGCAGTTTTCTAATTTCTATTTTCGATATTAACGTGAAAATGTTCTGATTACTGTTATCGATTGCTTTGAGAAAAATGAGCAGTGTTACTGACGCTAAAGCCTATGTTCAAAAAGTGCAAAATTGATTGTCAATGCTGGTTTTACTTTTTTTTTTTTTCAATTTTATCACGGCCAAATTCCGAGAACGAATACATCTGCTGTTCAAAAGGCTTTATCTTTATTGTTAAAGTTATATTTTCGTAAGTTAATGCAGAGATCCAATAACTAAAGCATGTATATCTGTGTTAACATATGTAATTAATGAATTTAACAATATGCTTAAATAGGCATATAGATTCAAATTCTTTATGGATGTTTTTTAACGTTTTAAATATAGGTCATTCATTATCTTCAATCGCTGTTAACTTTTGTCCCAACTTGTATACGTAGCCATCTGCCTATTTCCCCTACTAATTTTGTGTAATTTTTTTCTCCATCTCCCTATTAAATGCCTTTTCACAGGCAAGTTACAGTTTTTTCTTCTTTTTCCTCTTTTTTCCTCTTACTTTCTATCCTTTTTAGTTTCAAAAAATAATGAAATTAAAAAAAAAACAATCTTTACGATTCATTTTTTAATCAAATATATTAGTACTCTCAAGCCCCAGCTATTTTTTTTTCTCTAGGAGTGAAATGGTCATAGAAATCAGGTAAAGCTGAGTTTCATGTTTACGTAATACATACAAACATACACACACAGACACACACGCACCCCATATATATATATATATATATATATATATATATATATATATATATACACACACACACACATATATATATATATATATATATATATATACATATATATATAATATATATCACACATAGAAACAAATTGCTCACGGCCTGCACGCAAACCCTACACGACATAAGAAGTGTGTGTATGTATATATGTGTGTATGTATGTGTATATATGTATACTAATTCCTTTTAATAAGAAAGTATATATATATATATATATATATATATATATATATATATATATATATATATATATATATATATATATATGGAGAGAGAGAGAAAGAAAGAGAGAGAGAGAGGAAATTATACGTATGCGTATGCATGCTGACAAAAAACACAAAAAATGGGATTAGATCACGCGGGGGTCATTAAATGACGAGAATATAAATATCTTTTTCGCCCTTTCTCGGACAAGTCTTAATTGTTTTATTACCCTTCACGCAGAATTCATTCACAGGCAGTTCAAGAAATTGATTTGGGTCACTAATACACCAAAATAGAACGTCTAATATCGAGAATAGTCAACATCGAAAAACATAAGAAAAATTAATTCCTTAATTCCTTTTAATAATATGTGGGAATATTCACTCATTCCCTGATGAAGGTTGCGAGACAGGAAACACGTCTACCAAAATTATGGAAAATAAAGCATAATATATATATATATATATATATATATATATATATATATATATATATGTGTGTGTGTGTGTGTGTGTGTGTGTGTGTGTGTGTGAGTGTTTTAAAATCCACATTACAACCAAAAACTTTTGCGGTTTCTCTTTGTTTTTATTATACACACTTTTCTCTCGATGAACTACTATAACCTCTTCCATTTACACACACACACACACACACACATATATATATATATATATATATATATATATATATATATATATATATATATATGCTAGAAGAAATATAGGGGCGCAAACGTACAAACATAGACATATAAACACGCGTAAACATGAATACACAATTAGAGGTGTACATGAATGTACATGAATACATGTGCGTGTACGTGTATACGTTTATATTTGTATGCATGTGTGCATGAATTCGTGCACATACGTGCACGCACATGAATACTGAGCCGTGCAAAGTACATACACACAATTATAACTTAAACTTAAATGGTTAAAAGAATACTAAAATTAAGGTGTATACTTAACATAAACCAATGAAAATTAAAAAAGTTAAAATTAATCAGTTTAGTAACATCAAAAAAATATCTATTGTTTCATACAACTAAACACATGTATCAAACACTAACTAAAACTAAAACTTTAATGATACAACCTACTACAATATAATAAAACAAGTAAAGCGAAATAACATAATACACTACAAAGAACACTAAGGCAAGAAAAAACAAGACACAAAGACAATTAAATACAAATAAAGTTAACACGTACACAAACACAGAGTATGACCCACATACACGAACGCACAAACATAGTCGTGCTGGGGATTTCCTACATGCGTGAACATATATAGGCATGCGCATAAAAAAAACACCTTCAGCAACATACATACACAAGTATTTCCAACATTATCTAAATTAAATTATCAACAATAAACCAGAAACAAATGAAGCAGATGTGGAAAGAATAAGAGATACAGTAAAAAAGAGGAAGGAAGAAGAGAAATTAAGCATTCAATCAGCACCCATCAAAGTAACAGGAAATAAATAACACACACTAACATAATAAACGTAGAAGAGAATCGAGAGCTTACATCAGTTGAACCCTGTTCCGAGGAGATGTGATATATATGTAGCCACGAAACTCTGAAGTAAACAGGAGTTAATTTGAAAAAAAAAACACTTTTTATTATTTATCCTATCAACATTCTACAATACGACAATGCCTGCTTGCCTTAAACGCCTCCTTATCAGCAAACACATAAAATTTTGATTTAAAACGGTATTTCCTATTAACGGTATATATATATATATATATATATATATATATATATATATATATATATATATATATATAATACACAGCTATATATATGTATACATATGTATATATTTCCAAAGTAGCAAACACTAATGATATAACATTTACTGACATTTCTGTATTAGGCATTGAATTATGCCATTTTACATACTGCATATATTTCTTTTCTACTAGTTTGATGTTTTTTTCTCAGCTTAATTTTAAAAAATATCTAATCTTAAGATTTTTATTTATAAATACGTGCACTGATAAAAATCCTCATATTTTGTCCATCAGAGATCGAATTGCGCCAGCTTGGATTGTTTATACGTTTATGTTTGCTTAAGCGGGACCTTATTATGGGTAAAATCGATGACATTAGTAAGAATGTATGAAGAAGGTGATATTATAGTTTAGAAATCTAGGAGAGTAAATGGCAAGGTACACATTTTTATATATATATATATATATATATATATATATATATATATATCACACACATTTATAAGCATATATATTTATATGTACTTATTTACATATGGTGATACGTAATTTTTTTTTTAATTTCGCGGTCGCGTATTTTTTTAATTTTGGCGACTGCACATTACTGTCAGTTGGGCACCGTCTCTAAGTAAAAAAGAAGCATGATGCAAATGACTCCGCCAGAAATTTGGAATCGTCTTGAGTTACAGCTTGACATTCGCAGCGGAAGCACTAAACGAAAATTTCAGTGTGTTAAGATGCTAATCTGAAGGCAATGCAGAGGATTCGGAAAGATTTGTATTATATATCTTGTCAACCTCTTTTTTCCACACGCGGAATTCCCATCTATCTGTTAGAGAAATGTCTCAGATAAAAGCTGTCAGCAAGCCAACAATGTCGAATCATCTCAAGAAAACTGACAATGTGCATGAAACTCGTTAAATGGGCTCCAAATGAATTGAGTAATAGTCATAGTGGTCAAGGTTTTGAAGTGTGTTCGAAGCTGCATTGCATTATTCATTAGATCTATTGTTTCATCTCACCGGTGAAAGCACGAGGCTTGAACTAGTAACGATTAAGGAGTTCGAGTTTAATCGATAATTTGCGGCTGACTCTTGAAGCGATTCAAAGATACGGGCCGTAGCCCTCGCTCCGTTCGAGTTTTGCGGCGGGGTTTCAGTTCGACGTAGCCGTCCGTAAGACACATATCGTTCTTTCATTCTTCACGTCCTGTGTGCCTTTTGCATCGTTCGCTACGGCTTTCAGCACGCGTTGCTGCGCCATCGCTAACGCTGCGTCGGTCGGCGAGCAAAATTGTTTCTCGCCCGGCTCTTCGTGGAGCGCAATGGTTTTCAGTCTCAATTCGGGTAAGCGGCAAGTGTAAACCTAAACTCCACCCCTCTTCGATGAGGCAGGTGGCGGTTCCCACGTGCGCCTGTCCCGTCCGTTGCATAGCCACTTTCTCTGTTTGTGTGCGTTCAGATGACATCTTGGAAGTGGTACGATCCGGGGTAATCCCACTGTTTAATTAAAACAAAGCAGTGTGGCCAGTCGACCCGTACAGTCACGATGTGATTTCTGCCAGTGCTCTGATTGCCAATTTAAGAAATTGAACTTAGCCTGTGTAAAGGGCTGGAGTAACTCTGATTCTGTGATTTGGGCTCTTAGTGCTGGTTCACCTCTTAGAGTTTCCCGCCAGGTAAGAAAACAGATGTCGTTCACGGAGTATATATCTGCAGTACCTTCACTTCCAAAATGCACTGATCCTGGTGGGGATGACACTCTTATTTGATTGTACTTAATATGCTTCCAGTCTTAACATTCTCTACAACAACTTCCCACGCACTGCCAGGGACCATTCTTTTAATGAAATTCCCGTGCCGATCGGAAGGCAATGTCTTCCCCCCCAACTTCCAGGACTGCCCTTCTTAAGAGCGCACTTTTGAATAACCGACCGGTATATCTAGCTAAATGTCTCAAACGGCACGACACCTCATACCACACAAATACTCATACTTCATCCAGGTGGTCCCCTTAGAAACTGCAATATAGTACTTAGAGTGCGAGGGGTTGTCCAAAGGTATATACAACGTAAATATTTTCATTGCCTCAAAACTGTCAAGCCAAAATGACGCTATCAGCTGCAAACGACGGAAAGCTGACTAAGGAATCGGTTGAAAACTTCAATTCTCACAGCAGGCAAGGTGGAACACTGGCATCGCTGGTTTCCGGTGTCTCTTGTTGAGACCGCCCTCCCGAAGGAGCTACGTCCCCACATGACTGCCGCTGAGATTAAAGTATTTCTGGACGCGCCGCTTGAGTCCCTGGATTCTAAGCAGGCGCTTTGCCTACCCGGTCGTATGGTTTCCGCTATACGATCCAAACGGCGGCGATTCCTAATATCTGACCCTACCTGCGATTGTGGAACATAATGACGCGGAGCAAGGAAAGACCGAATTTCTGAGTATGTCACAGACCTTCTGCCCACGATTCCTTATCCTATGATCATAGAAACGGCAGAGAGTGTCCTCGGGGACCCTAATTGTTTCTCTATGCTATATTAAAAGTTATTCCACAAGAACAGAACCATGAGAAAACGAAAGATCCCTGCTGTAAAAAAGCAAGTGAGAAGGTGTGGCATAGAGCGCCCGGTTCTATCACATCCTCCCGAAACGTCTTGAGCAGAGTTCTCAATCGGTGGCCAAGACAGTCCTCGTTAATGACCGAACGAGTTTTCAGTAATGAGTACTTTTTTCGCGAATGGAAACCAGTGTTCAAAAGTTAAAGCTTCGTGGACCCGGCCGAAGGCCATCCCGTCCCGCCGATTAATGAATTCGCTCAACTCATCCAGGTGGCTAATGTCGCTACCACCATTGCGTCTATGAAATAATCCTATCTAGGTCCGGATAGCCTAGGCTCTATCATGTACGGGATATTAACGTAGAGGTCATCACCAATCTCTGTAACCTACTGTTGCTATAGAATCCGCCACGTTTGACAGACAAAACTTAAAACATCTTCACCTATCCGGTAACATTTATGAAGATAGGGGAGATGCTCGGCAATCAAAAGAAAAAGAAATTCACAGCCCTCTGATACAGTGCGAACACCAGAATTTATATGAAATGTTCAAAACATCATCAATGAGAACCCCGGAAGATCAATGAGGTCCATCGCCAAAGAATTCCAGGTGTCAGTTTGGTCTATCAGAACCCTGGTACATCAGGACATTCGATGTAAGTTATATGTAATGAGGAAAGACAAATTCATATCAGCGAAGACACAGGAAAACCGTCTCATGCGTTCACAAAGTTTGCTGAACAAAGTGAATAATCCCCACGAACATGGCATGCTTTTGTTTTTTCTGACGAAAAAAAGTTTGACCAAGATCAGAAAACAAACAGACGGCATGACAGGTTGCTTTGTGCATCTCCTTTTGAATTACCCAGGGCAATGCACACCAAATATCCGGCTATTGTGATGGCTTTAATAGTTGTGAGCAGTGAAGGTCATGTCATGAAGGCCGCCATTATCCAGGTATTGTCCAAAATGAACAGGGACCACTAAATTGCAGTTTGTGGTTTGTTTCGAAACCGAATAGAAGCGGTCATTTAAGCCAAACATGCCTTCATAGAATAATTAAAGAAGTATCATGAAGATATTTGTGTCAATTTGAATTAAATGCATTGTTTACTAAGATATTATTTAACATAATAAAATGTCCTCAAAAAGCGCTCGCACCCTCTAGTAGGTTTGACATCCGCGATAGATTTATGATGAATGGACCATGTATGGCTTTTGGAAATGGCATGCTAATGAAGGAGGACTCAGGCACTTTCTAAGCACAAAATTACACATACAAACTTATGGTAACTCAATTTTCTCTGACAATTGCGCTATCCGTTACAGCCTACTGCTATATAACCAAAGCAGTACTGCTGAAGTTTAAGGACAACAACTGGATGAAATGCACATACATCTAAGCAAAAGGCGACGGCAAATGAATAATCCACGCAGTCAATAAAGTTTAATGAGAATGTTATCGGGATGACAAACTCACCGACACGAGATACGAGATTTTGAAACATTCTTCATATTCCACTGTTCTTTTCCACAATGACGTTTTAAAGCATATATTATTTTAATCCAAAATACATTCCGTTCAAAGGAAGATGCAGAAATTTTATTCAAATATTTATTGACGAAATTTATTGTAACGGCAAAAATAGACTTACAACACGATGACAAAATATATACATGTTCAGAGTTTCTGTTCTGACTGGTTTATGTTTGGAGTAAATACATTAATTAATTAGTAAAAGTGAATTCTAAAATCAATAATAATAATAATAATAATAATAATAATAATAATAATGTGTTACCGATATTGAAAGTTTCAATAAAATGCTTGCTTATCAATTTGGCTATTCCTTCTTACACATTAGAAGAATCAAAGAAATTGACGAATTAATGAATTTCGCGCAATTCCTGATTGAATGTGACAATATTATCCCAGATCATTAGGATATTGGGTTCTATACCATCGAGCTTAAAATACAACATGTCTAAAATCAGAATAAAGCTTCAGCAGTCTGCTTTCTTTGACACTTCAAATATTCTTCGAAATTAGTTTCCTGTCTGATTTTGTGTCGCTTAATATCATATACACATAATGGAACATATTCTTTTTACAAATAAAAAGAGTGAGACACACATAACCACAAACATAACAAGGTAACTACATACGTGCACTGGAAGATATGCAAGAAGCACAAAATCGAAACCACTGAGAAATGGTTTGAGTGCCAACCAGGAACTGTTATTCAAAATAACGATGTAAATATCGTCAGGGACATATTAATTCAATCTACCAAGGAAATAAAAGCCAGTAGGCCTGATATTATCATAAATACAAGAACTTCAGGAAGTGTATGCTTATTGACATAGCAGTACCATCTGAGAGAAACATCGAGAAATTGCCCAAAGACAAGAACCTGGAGATCAAGATTTGCAGGATGTGGGGAATGAAGACTGAAGCTGTACTAGTAGTAATCGGAGTTAAGGGCCTCGTGAGAAAAGTCCCAAGTAACACCAACATACAAATCACCCAGAAGATCACCCTATTAAGAATAACCGATATACTAAGAAAAGTGATATCAGTTAAATGAAAATATAACATACACAAATAATAATAATAATAATAATAATAATAAAGATATCACAACTCTATGGAATTACACCGTCTTTACAGACAGGAAGATTGACGTAAATACGCCGGTCATAATTGTCAAAAACCGAAAAGGAAAAACAAATCTGTCTACTAATTGATATGGTCTGTGCTTTGGACTCTAACGTAGCAACCGAGGAATATAAAAACTATCCACATATAAATACCTGGAAATCGAAATAGAAAACAGAAGGAAGATGAAACAAAATAGTACCGGTCATAGTAGGTGCGCTTGCAATTATAAAAAAAACACAAGACCAAAAGATCCCTGAAATCCCACCTTAAAAGAAATAAAAAGAATTGTAATGATAACTACATCCCACGCACTAAAAAGAACTTTGTTCATGTAATCCAAATTATGCCATGGGAGAAAAACAAATCATGAAATATAGCCATAACAACACACAACGACCTGCCTTATGTCATCCCGTCTTGCTAGGTCATGTGACTATAGCAGAAATCGAAAAATCCTGATGATACTATAATATTAATAAATAATTTAGGTTTTGTATGATTTTTCATCTTATTTTGTATTATAAAATATATATATATATATATATATATATATATATATATATATATATATATATATATATATCGGGTTAATAATGCATCGAACATAAAATCAGTAACATAATGTGGAATGTAGATTTGCCTTCAACAAGATTGATCTCGTATTCAATACGCTGACATTCGCACAAAAAAGACGACCCTTGACACATATTATAATTTAAGAAGCCTTTAGTTGAATGAGGATGTCATCTGGAATCTATGGCGCAGTGATTTGGAGAAGTAATATGTCACTATGATTATAGATCCTGCCAGGTTTCACTGACTAACGTGATCTAATTTATTCAAGGAGTCTTCTCGAAAAAGACTCGCATATGAGATGCGTGTTCATTTCGTGAGGTAAACTATTTCTTTATTCGTATTTCAATTCTTCCTTTGTTCACGTTTCACAGTATGGGTGTTGTCAGTAATTATTTATTCACCTTTCACACAATCTCCTTATTTAGATTTAACTACATTAATATTTCTCATACTTATTTCACGCTCGCATTTTATTTCTGATGCGCTCTTCGCTCTGGTAGCTAGACTTGATTACTTTAAGCGCTGTACTATACTAGCGTCAAGATCTCATCAGTTTACAGATGAGGTGGCTAGATGTAAGTGTAAATCTATGCTAAGAGTTTATTTTCTTACACTTCGCGCTTGAAGAATTCCCTACAGCCAAATTTAATCTTCAAAAATGATTCTTCTTTTGTCCTTGCACGTTAGTAATGTTTCTGTTTTTAATTTTGGCACACGCAGTATTCACTTGTATCTTAGTGGCTTTACTGCCTTCATTAGGGTGGACTCGATTAAAAAAATTAATATTACCTAATTATCATTTCTCTCTTTCATATTAACATTAAATTGTTTTTATTGCACATTAGCTTTTTTTGAAATTCCATATTTTTATTTAAATTTCCAACTATCTCTATATATTTATTTCGCTTTTAGTATTTAATATTCAACTCTATTTTTCTCACATGTTACTTTAACGAAAGTACATCTAATATTAGCACCAAGAGACTCTCAAATTAGAGGTTAAAATTGTTATGGATAATGAACTGTATGATATGAAATAAATATGGGTTAGCAAACCTGGGCAAGTTATGAGAATGTGGACGATAAATAATGATGGACATTATATTCCTTTTCATTTGATATCCTCTTCTTATTTCTCCTATATTTATTCTCATTCCACACACTTTTTTATTTAATTGAGATCAATTATTTATCCTTTAACTCTGTTTTAATCAGCTCAATTGCCTGTTGTAGTATTTTGACTAACAACAAAATATTCTGTTGGGTATGAGGATAAAGTACATCAGGCAGCAAGGTCTCTGATCGAGATATTGGATGCTTTGAGGGATATGGAACCACTTCAGAAATTACTGTCCTTCCCCAGATCCACCCTGAATCCTGATGGCAGCTCCTGTTAGGAAGCTAGCTATGGAACAAATAGTTAATACCCCAACAAAAAGTTAAATGTATGAAAGTATATAAATATATTTTTATATTAAAAATACAAGCAATACATTTTATAAAGAAGTAGACATCTTTCTTAAAATCAAAACGACCTTAACCGGCATGATGCACGTACCCTTTCGCGTCGAGATTTTTTTTCGTCTAAATTTTGTCGGCATAATCTCAATGAAA